TAAATCAATTAATTGCGTACCTTTGCGCTTCCAGCGAAATTAAAAACAACATACATGCTAAATAACTTAACCGAATTTAAATCAATTAACATGCTCGCGTTTAAACCAATTATCATGCTTGCAAAGATTAAAAACGATTACATATAATCACATAAAATCACACGATAGCAAACATGAATTCATTGTTTAAACCTAAACGAACCGTAACTAGGGTTTCGTGTATTTACCTCTTGAAGCGTGAGGTAGGAGCGTTTAGCAAGTCGAGATTGCTACGGAAACCAATCCGTACAATCGGGGCAGCAGCGGTGCAGGAGCAGCAGCGGCGAATCAGCCACGGCGGCGCGTGAGGTACACGAGCGGTCTTCCGGGGCGGCGCGTGGGGCAGCGTGCGGCTTCGGCTAGTGCGCTGCTCTTCGATTCCTCGATCTTCGGTCTTTCTCCTCTCGGATTTCACCTCGTATACTTCGATCTACTAAACACGTGGCACTAGACACGTAATAGTTAGAATTAACGGAAGAAAAAGAAAGAAGAAAAGAGTACCGAAAGGATCGGCCAATAGATGGCCGATTCCGGCGACGGAGGAGCGGCGACGGCGCGGTGGTGGCCGCGGGGAGAGTGGCCGAGAGAGAGAGGTGGACGGCCGCTAGGGTTAAGGTTTGTTGTGTGTTTGTGCAAGGCCTATAAATCATGTATTTATAGTCCCTTGCATAAAACCCTAACGGGCTTAAGTTGGACCGGGCCCAACAGCTTAAGCTCGTTAGTTCATTTACTCGCTCGTCTCTCTCAATTCAATGATCGGAAAATTGCAACAATTACATTTTCGGAATCATTATAATATCCTCGTCATTACGAGTGCCATCTTTCATTTTCCAACTTTCCAAAAGTGGAAACCCTAGTTCAGTGCACTTTCTAAATTTGGAAACTTCCCGATTTAGAAAGTTCACTAACACGTTCGCCTATTCTTTTCCTTTTCTTATTCTCATTCATAATTCCAAATTACGAATGTCGGATCCAATCATATTGACTTCCAATCATGCAAAGATAAACTATTTTACCTTTGACCGTTTATTCAAAGATCTCATGTGCACGAGCAGTGTGACCCTCGATGGTTCAGGTGTAAGCTATCCGTGGGCCCACAACCCTTTGTGGTCAAAACTCGTCCCCTTCGAGTTACGATTAAGATGAAGCTCGTTTCACCTTAATCACCCAACGAATCAAGATTGGCGTCTAGCAACTACGCGTCATGATTCCCTAGATACAAATGAAGTGCCTGCAAGAACCTTCAGATATAGTCAACGTACAGTACGGTCCCTTCGATTCATATGTCCCGATCGAACTAGAGGCATTGGTTCATCGAGACCTCTTTATCTGTTCGATGACGGTGCGATCGTTCTAAGTGTTGTAATCCTCACGTGCATGACTTAGAGAATCGAATTCTCTAATCATCACTTAGTCAACTCTGGCCAGAGACTTAGAATGATTACAAACTTTCAGAACACACAGGACATCCAAGACTATTCTAGCGATCGAATCCCCGACTACAATGCACAGACCTCCCACTAGATTTCGGACTGCACGAACACTGGCCCTTGGGATGGTCCTCGGTGAAACTCAGGGACAGGTCACGATACAGCTGGTCCTCTAGTGAAGTCACGGTGATGTCTAGGTCATAAGGACTAATGGTGTACAACTATACCATAGATATCTCTACTCGATTATTGGGAACCACTAAGAGATTTCTAGGGTGAGGGAGTTCAGTGAACTCGTCAACTTACGAGCACCCACTTATGCATGCCGATATCACAATACCGTTTACTGATGAGATGCAGTACACATACACTAAGTGCTAGTCTTAATGGGAAAGGCCGATATCCTCATTAGTGGCGTAACCCTTCGACTAGGAACACGTTTAACAGTTATAATACTTGAGTAAATATCTCACGATCCTAACGATCAATTACTAGTACTTGTAATAACTGTAAGGACTATATCTATGCTTGTGACAAAGGGACAAAGCTATAGAATGCCAAGATGTTTTATCATTAATACGAATAAAGGTTCGTTTATTACAATAATAAATACGAAAGACCACAGCCACAAGTTGGCTTGTTGGTCACCTACTCTAACAATCTCCCACTTGACCTAAAGCCAACTACCCATAAATCGCAATCCCATCGACTCTCGATGTTTCTCATGGACCGATCTCGGTAAAGGCTTCGTGAAGGGGTCTGCAACGTTCTCTTCCGAGGTGACTCGTTCAACCTTGACTTCACCTCTATCAATGATCTCTCGGATCACGTGATACTTCCTCAGAATATGCTTCGACTTCTGATGAGATCGTGGCTCCTTAGCTTGCGCCACGGCTCCGGTGTTATCACAGTACAACGGTACTGGATCACTAGCATCAGGAATGACACCCAACTCTTGGATGAATTTCCTTATCCAAGTCCCTTCTTTTGCAGCTTCGGACGCTGCAATGTATTCCGCTTCGGTAGTGGAATCAGCCGTCGTGCTTTGCTTGGAACTCTTCCAACACACGGCACCACCATTAAGCGTGAATATAAATCCAGAATTCGACTTTGAGTCGTCCACATCCGATTGAAAACTAGAGTCAGTAAAACCCTCTAATTTCAACTCGGCACCCCCATAGACCAAAAATATATCCTTAGTTCTTCGCAGGTACTTGAGGATATCTTTCACGGCTTTCCAGTGAGCCGGGCCGGGGTTAGACTGATATCTGCTTGTGACACTCACAGCATACGCAATATCGGGTCTCGTACATAGCATGCCATACATTATGCTTCCTATGGCAGAAGCATAGGGCGTCCTTTTCATCTCCTCGATTTCACTAGGTGTTTGTGGACACATAGATTTCGAGAGACGAACCCCATGGGACATTGGCAAGAATCCCTTCTTGGATTCTTCCATGCTAAACCGTTTCATAACGGTGTCTATGTACAGGCTTTGGGATAAGCCAAGCATCTTTCTTGTTCTATCTCTATAGATGCGTATTCCTAATACGTAAGATGCTTCTCCCAAATCCTTCATTGAGAAACGTGTGGACAACCATGCTTTCGTTTGCCGCAACATTCCTACGTCATTCCCAATGAGTAGAATGTCATCAATGTAAAGCACTAAAAATATCACTGCCCTCCCACTAACCTTCTTGTATACACAAGGTTCCTCCGGATTCTTCTCAAAATCAAACTCTTTGATAGTTGAGTCGAACCTAATGTTCCAACTATGGGATGCTTGCTTCAATCCATAAATGGATCGCTGGAGCTTGCAAACTTTTTTCTCACTTCCAGAAGATATGAAGCCTTCCGGCTGCGCCATGTAAATTTCTTCCTCAATATCTCCATTAAGGAAGGCGGTCTTCACATCCATTTGCCATATCTCGTAGTCGTACCACGCAGCTATGGCCAGCAAAATCCTAATGGACTTCAGCATCGCGACTGGCGAAAAGGTTTCCTCATAGTCAACACCTTGCCTTTGAGTGTATCCTTTTGCTACCAATCTAGCTTTATAGGTCGATACCTTTCCATCAACTCCAATTTTCTTCTTATAGATCCACTTGCAGCCTATAGGAACAATTCCTTTGGGTGGATCTACCAAGGTCCATACCTTGTTGGAGTACATGGAGTCCATTTCGGATTTCATGGCAGTTAGCCAATGTCCCATGTCCGCATCCGATACGGCCTCATTGTATGTTCTTGGATCTTGTCCAAGATCAACATGATCTTCATCATTTTCGAGGAGGAATAACCTATCCGGCATTTTCCGAACTCTTTCGGATCTACGTACCGTAGGTTCAGGAGGTATATCAGTGGTTTGTTGTATTGGTTCGATTACTTGTTCTTGTGTTTGAACTTCACTTTGTGGTTCTTGAACTACTTCAAGTTCTATCATGCTGCCCTTTCTATCGGATAGAAACTCCCTTTCCAAAAAGGTGCACTACAACACAAAACTCCATTTATAGCGCGTGAAAAACGCTATCGTAGGATAAAATAGCGTTTTTGCAAACGCTATTTCCGCCCAAGCTATAATAGGTCCGAGATATACCATAGCGTTTCACAAGTGCTATGATATTGGAAATTTGCTACAGCGTTTTTACGTCGCTATAGTAATGGAAGATTCAATAGCGTATTTTTAATGTCGTGTTATAGTATTTTATGACTCCTGTAAAACGCTATTATACAGTTTCTCTGGCGTATAATAAACGCTATCATAGGTGCATACCATAGCGTTTTGTTAATCTAATTGAAAGTCTTCTATAGCATGAGAAAGACGCTATTTTAATTGTACAATAGCAGATTGCTCCCGCTACTGTATGTATTATTGATAGTGTTTTGGAAACGCTATGGTTATATTTTGTGGTGCATTAATTATGCTATTGTTCACTTTATAATAACGCTTGTTGTAGTGTTGTATTAGGATTTATTCGTTCCAAATATATATGATAACTTTGATTTTAATGCTATGGTTTATTTTTTATAGCATTTCATAAATGCTCTTGATTATTTCCCAAATTTTGGAATTTTCGGCGTAGCTATTATTTTTTGCTAATATTTACAATTTGAAAAAACATTAAAAAAGAATAACTTCTAAGATTTTTATAAATAACATAAACAAAATAATAATCATTATTAATATGATTCGATACCATTCAATTCATAAACTTCAAAAACATCAGTTTAGATAAATGTTTGAAATAAGACAAGAAAAAAGGATCATCTTCACTGCCAATTTCAAGAAATCCAAAATCAGCTTCCGTGCAATGTCTCTTAATTTCTCTATTTCCTGGTAACAAAAACATAAAATTACATAGTGTTTATTCAAATATTACAACAAGAAGATAAATTAATGACCTAAGTCTAGTCTAATATCCAGTATATCGAATATAACTAAATTGACTAAATGAGTATGGTTAAACATTACAACTGTCTAACAAAATAAATCCACCAAACAAGCATAAAACTCATTTTGCAACCTGTATTACCCAACTATAACGCGATCTATATATAAGTTTTCTCGATATTAAATATATATAAAGATTTTCTTAAAGGTAAGAGGACATGCAAGTCACAAATACATTTCTCCAAAAAAGAAAAAAATTGTTATATTACTTACCAGAGGTTTAAACTAATAATACTTTATCCGTGGGCCATGCTACTATAGAGCCGATGGCATCGTCAATAAACTCCATCTCTGATGTAGACCTCCAAAGCGACGCACTGGGGATTTTTGGAGTATCGATCCAAACACTCGTTGCATTAGGACCCAGGGGAACAAAATGAACAACTTGTTTCGGATCACTTGAGGACCATCGTCCTTCTGCAACTATTCTACCAGATCCAGTAACATCCAATAATTTGCACTTCTTTACATTGTTAGTGTTCACACTCTAATAAATCAAACATGACAAATCATAAAACATAAAAAAGAGAATAAAATAAGATTCATATTCACAATTTGTATGTATATGCATAAACACAGACAACTTCTTACCACAGGGGATGAAATATTTCCTTCGCTTTCTGAATTCGATTCCATTATGACTTTATCCGCAGGCCAAGCTATTGTAGAGTTGATTGCATGTGTGATAAGTGACATCTGTGATGTAGACCGCCATAAACATGCTTCAGGACTTTTTGGAACATCCACCCAAACTATCATGGCGTTTGGCCCAAGAGGAATATCATTTATTAATGCATTTGGGTCATCCGAATGTAAACGACCTTCTGCAACCAATTCATCTTTCCCTCTCCTCCAATCAATCAATTTGCATTTGTTCCTTGAGTTACTCTATCAACAATATAATAGGTTCATATTAGTCATAGCTATCTTTTACAAAATTTTCAATTAAAAAAAAAACACATTCTTACCGAATTAGGAGATACGTTGTCTCGTTCATTAGACTCTTGCTGAACTTGCAAAATAACGCTCTCAGCAGGCCAAGCTATTATCTTATCCTGAGCGTGTTGAATAAGGCTCATATTAATAGTAGGCCTCCACAAAAAAGCATCTGGTTTTATTAGAATATCAACCAAAACTTTCATTGCATCAGGTCCAAGGGGAATTCCACCGACGAGTTCTTTTGGATCAATTGATATAACACATCCTTCGGCAACAATTTCATTTGTTCCTCTCCAATCTACTAACTTGCAAACTTGATTTGAGTCGGAATGATCATCCTACGATCAATCACTATGTAAGAATCTTTGTAAACAAATTCCCAAGCACTGCTAATTATTACATGCTATGTGTGTGTGTATATATTTAGTTTAAAACGCTGGTATAATATGTTAATAAATATATTCATACAAATTAAATGTTCATGTACAGAATCATCATTTTACGTAATCGTTTAAACTATAGAGAAGTACCTTCGAAGATGCTTTGTCCGCTTCTTCACTTTGATTAACCTAACACCAGAGGTTTGGATGTAGTTAAGTAATAATATTTCAAAATTTATACAATGACAATTACTTACATTATTCTTCTTGATCAAGTTCTCCAATTGTGTTATCCTATTTTCCATTTGTGATATATACTTCTCATTTGCACTGAACAACATCAATTTACTAATGGTCATTCCTCTTCCCATTCCTCTAAATCGACCATATTTGTCTTGTCCCAAAACTTTGGAAAGATAATCATCCCTGATATTAATTGAAGACGATGGTGACTCATTTTCAAATTTATTGAGCTTCTCCTGATTCACACATATAAAAATATCCAATATTAAAAATTAAGTAATTAAAAACATTGCACAAATTAAAAAATATTTTTATAGTACAGATTAGTATAAATCCTTACAATAGTTTCTGAAACTGATGTGTTTACTGGTTGACCATCCTTTCTTGTGCGTGACCTAATCCAAACATCGACCCTAGATACAGAAGACGGGTCTGCACTATTCTTTTTCTGTAACATAAAATGGTATTAATAAATCTATCTACAATGTGCAAATATTTAGATTAATTATGGAGTATGCATTACCATGTCTTCCGCTAGTCGAGTCATTCCTTTTCTGCTGCAGGTGTGTGAGATTTGTTTGCTCCTAATCTCTTTGTACTTACTGCTTGTATCCTAAAATTCTAATACATTAGTATAATTTTAAATATTCAATACCATAATTTGTAACGTACTGTTGTTTTATATAAAATTAATAACATGAATTTAACTCTAAAAACTTACCCAAAAATAAAATTATGGTAAATATTTTACATAGTACCTTAAATGTTTGACTTGTTTTCTCTTTGATAAACCTTTTCCACTCCATCATACTGTGAATGTTATTCGGTCGTAGTTCTAGTCTTTCATCCTCATTCTTTGCCAATTGTATTTGTTTGACTAACCTTGACTTTGAAGCCCTCCATAAACATCCCATTGACTTAAAAACAATTGTGTTCTGCCACTCCTCGTCAATGTCGAATCGTGCCTATCAGAAAAATAAAATAAAACAATCAACAATCAACTAATTTGAAGACATGTATTCCAATAATTATATTAACAAAAAAACCTGTGCATATAACAACCAATATTGAATATGCTCAAGCGGTCTCCATATACGTAAATAAAAGAAATGAAAATCAGTATAACACATACATGAATACATGCACAAAATTAAACCTGTATCGATTTCCACAAAACTATTTTTTTGTCATCACCGAGCTTTCTCCAATCATGCAGCGTTACAGGAACGTGCTCCCGTACTAGTGGACTTAAATAAGATGATAGGGTAACTGACCCCTTTCCACACGGTTCACCCCTGTTAGTAAATTCGACATGTATCCTACTCCCTGGATCCATTGCAATATGTTTCATTCTGGTTGGACCTCTGGTTTTCTTACGTCCCTTCACGTCCAATGTTGAATCTTGTGATATTGGTGCATCTTGTTGGACCAATTCAGTAGTGGATCTTGGTACATCGGGTTCAGAAACATGAGAACTATTGACAAATGTATCATCGCGTGCTTCCATATCGGTATTGTTAGCCTCAGATGTTTGTGTAATCCCCTTAACACGTTTTCGTTTCTTGGAAACTTTCTTCGTAGCACAATTTTTCATTTTTGCTCACCTGTTTGACACAAGAATAATTATATCAGCATTTTTGGAAAGAAAAATGATATGTAGAGATATTAAAACAAATAATAGATATTCACCTGTTTTACACCTAACTAACACTTTGATCGAAACACTCATTGCATTAGTAAATACATAAGGAAACAAAAGTGACATATAATTGACATGCAACTAACAAAATTGGTCAATCCTTAAACACAAGATAAGTAAACAAATAAACAAATAAACGTCATAGATATCGAATTGTTGATGCAAAAAAAAAAAATGTTGTCCAGTAAATGTCAGTTTCAATATAAACTATAAAATCTTATGAGGACAGATGTTGTCCAGCATGTATATATCCCTCTAAAAATAGCTAAATAAAATTTACTCAAGTATGCCTTCACAATCCTCCCTGACATATCTAACTTCATCATTCGACTCGTCAAATTCCACATCAACTTCAATTGGTGCAATTACATTGACATCTACATTTTCATCATCTTCAATGATCGCCTCTAGTTCATGGAAACCTCTTGGTGGTGCCTTCAATACAACATACCAATTAGAGGAATCATCATCCCTTGAATAAAATATTTGTTTTGCTTGAGATGCTAAGATATATGGATCCTTCGTAAATGATGCTTGACTTTGGTTAAGGTTGACAAGGGTAAATCCATCTTCAAACTTAACACCATTTCCTTTATTTGCCCAATGACACCTAAAAATAGGGACATAAAATATATGATAATCTAGTAATATTATATCAGTTATTAGTCCGTAATAGGTAACCAAATCTGCCACTTGTGCAGTATCTTTTGCGCTTGATCTACACATGCTTGTTGCCTCATAAATAACTCCACTATTTTGAGTTTCTCGATGAACATCTTTGGTGTGAAATCGGAGCCCATTGATGATATAACCAGTATAAGACAAAGCGTTGTCTCGTGGACCATATGCAATCCATTTTAACGTGTTCGAGTGATCCTCTGAGTCAATAGGTATCTGTTAAAGTTTAAAAAGTTTTACGAATAATTTAAATTAATTGACAAATAAAAAATTAAAATCAAAAGTTAACAAAAATATTCCCTAACCTTCTTTTTCAACCATGCTGCAAAATTTTCAGTATGTCTATTCCAAAGCAGAGTTGCATCTTTTCTTAAGCGTATGTTAGATCTTTGCAATTCTTCTAAATGCATGCTATGATAAAAAAAAAATCTTAACTACGTGAAAAAAATATTTTAAATATTGAAAATATTGAATTTTGATTAACTTACTCAAGATATGGATCTACTACCGCTGTATTCATTAAAACTGCGAGATGGGCAATTTTTTTTTCTTGATCACTTAGCGTAATTGATGTGGATCCAGATATCGGACGTCCTTCTAGAATTACCTCACTGCCACAATCATCATTGCGGACGTCTTTTTCTTCCACTTTTACTGAGTTTTTCAGAAACTCACTACAAAATCTTACGCATTCTTCTGCAAGATAAGATTCAGCAATACACCCCTCTGGTTGTGCAGAATTTCTTACGTAGTCTTTAAGTATTTTCATATATCTGTATGTTAATAACGTATAAGTAATATAGATATACAAAGTGGAATAGAAAAGAAAAATATTATGATATTTACCTCTCAAATGGATACATCCAACGAAAATGAACAGGTCCACATAATCGGGCTTCTCTTCCTAGATGAACCACTAAATGTACCATAATATCAAAAAATGAAGGTGGAAAGTGTCTCTCGAGCATACACAACGTCTCAATAACTTCATCCTCTATGACTGCAATTTTCTCTCTGTCAATAACACGCTGGCATAACTTGTGGAAAAAAATAGATAATCTATGTACAGCCTTTCTAGGCCCTTTTGGGAGCAGTCCTCGTAAAGCAACTGGAAGTAATTGTTGCATTAGAACATGGTAATCATGGGACTTCAGCCCAATAACCTTGCAATCTTCCAACGATACACACTTCCCAATATTTGAGCAATAACCATCAGGTCCTTTGAAATCATACAATCTCTTGCAGAATTTATTTTTCTCAGACCTTGATAATGTCCACGGAGCTGGTGGAAGATATGTTCTACTACCTCGAGGTTGTGGATACAGGTCTTTTCGTATTTGTATATCTTCTAAATCCTTCCGAGCATTAATCCCATCTTTTGACTTTCCACAATGTAAAATTGTACTTATTATACTTTCACATATATTTTTCTCTACATGCATTACGTCTAAATTATGAGGCAACGGAAGTTCCTATGAACAATTAAAGCAATGTTTATATATTATAGATTTATATCTTAATTTATGTAATATTTAACGAAAAAAATAAAAATACCAACCTTCCAATATGGTAAATCGAAAAAAATTGACCTTTTCTTCCATCGTCCGAGCTCATCTTGATCATCATCTTCGTTAAATGTATCATTATTGCCATCGCCATCATTGTCCTCCACATTTAAATTGTCATTCCTTTTTCTTTTTTGCTTTTTACCTTTTCCGAAATTATTTTGAAAGTTTTCAAGAGCAGCAAAAATGTTTCGACCTGTCAAGATTCTCGGCTTCATTCCATTTTCTACATTATTATCAAACCATGACCTTTTTCCACGATATGAATGTCCAGGTGGCAAAAATTTTCTATGGCCCATATACGCAAATTTTCTACTATAGCGTAACCATCGGTGATGTGTATTTTTTCCACAATGTGGACATGCTTTTTTACCCTTTGTGCAACATCCAGCAAGATTACCATACGCCGGAAAATCACTTATGGTCCACAATAAAATTGCTCTAAGATTGAATATTGTTTTACTAAATGCATCATATGCCTCCACCCCATTGTGCCACAATACTTTTAAATCATCTATGAGGGGTTGTAAGTATACATCTATATCATTTCCAGGTTGCTTTGGACCTGGAATCAATAATGTCAACATAATGTTCTCTTTTTGCATGCACAACATAGGAGGCAAATTATATGTAACTAACATTACAGGCCAACAACTATGTCTGGAGCTTAACATACAAAACGGATTGAAACCATCGGTGGAAAGACCAAGTCTAAGATTTCGTGGTTCAATTGCAAATGATTCCCACTTATCATTAACTAAATCCCAAGTTACAGAATCAACGGGATGATGCATTTTTCCATCATTACTTTTATTATTAAAATGCCACCTCAGGTCTGCAGCCATCTTTTCTGACTTGAACAATCTTCTAAATCTTGGAATAATAGGAAAATATCTTAAAACTTTAGCGGGAACTCCCTTTTTTACCACTTTGGATCTTTTATTCATCTTCCATCTTGAATCACCGCATTTTGGACAGTTGTCCATGTCCTCGTACTCTTTTCTAAATAAGCAGCAATCATTCAAACACGCATGGATTTTTTCGTACCCCATATCAAACTCCTTGAGGAATTTTTTCATCAAGTACAATGATTTTGGAAGTACATTGTCTTCAGGTAGCAATTCTGATAGTGTATCGAGAAGATCATTAAAGCTTCTATCTGACCACCCATTACGAATTTTAAGTTGGAATAAAGCTACAATAGCTGATAATTTGTTATGCCTTGAACCATTGGAATACAAAGGGGTCTCTGCATCTTTTAGTTTTTCTATAAAAACATCATCATGTTTACCTTCCATTGGCTCATTGCAGTTTTGATTAACAAATTGATTAGGCTCCATATAGTCTTTATCTAAAAAGTGGGTAGCTCTATATAAATTGAATGCATCGTTGTTGATTATTTCATCTACTTTGTCTTCATTAGTGATGTGCTCTCCATGCTCATACCAATCTTTTCTTTGTTTGTACTTGACTTCCATTCCTCTTGTAACTAAATGTTCAATCCATACAAGGGCATAAGATTTTCTCAGGATTTCCCATGTTTTTCATAACTTTTTTCACAAAATCCCATGCTCTTTTCTGATATTCAGGATCAGCTCTAATAACAAAATAATAAGGGCATTGCAAAACAAAAAGTTATAGTTTGAAACTTAAAAGTTATTAGTTTTTATAGTAATTATAGAAGTAATATCTTTACCTGTTAATATGCACCCAATCTTTATGGAATATCATGTTCAAGGTACCACTTACACAACTAAACTTTAAAATCCAAATAAACAAGCAACATATCAGTATTTTGAAAATTAAAGATAAATTATCAACTTAATCAATAACACAAAAAAGAATAACTTAAACTTATTTCTCGCACAATTAAAAAACAAAGTCTTCACATAAGCAAAATAAAAATGGATCAGCAAGAGTAATTTGTACTGACCTTTAATTACTTGACCACTATGAAGTTAAAATCAATTGAATTTCCCTCTTTCAAAGCTGGAACGAATACCAATTATGTGGGTAATATTTCTCTGCAAATACATTTAATATTTATTAGTAATGAGATAATGTAACAAGTTTAAAATATTATGAGGATCACAGCTATTTAACTATACAGATTAGTCATTCTCCAAAAAAAAAAAATATATTGTCAGTATTCATCAGTAGTACATAACTGTACAATTTATTATAGATAAAAAAATGAAATAAACAACAGGCTTTGCATACAAGAATTAAGGTACTTCAAATTAAATGCTTGTTAAAGGTGAAATGTTAAGACAATAGATTTAACAAGAGTTTTTTTAGAATCGGGATTTTCCTTATACTCTTTAACACATGTTCTCATATTCAATTCGAAGATAAAAAAGAAAGTCTAAAATATTTTTCTATTGATTTCTTACTCATTACTCAAACAATATGGTGAGTAAGATAAGCAACATGAAATTTATAATATAACTTTATTCCGTACTAATGAGACATGCAAGTATAAGTATGAGACAGTAGAAAAGATATACATTTATTTACACTTATATACTCTTGTATATAGCTATAACAAATGTATATACCTGAAGTACATATAGGTGTTATTTGTAAAACAAATCTTTGAGTCCACCAAACAACTCTCAATCTCCGTCCAGTGATTTTTCCCCTTTTATGCAACCAGTTCGGATAATCACGAAGTATATACTCTTTATATCTTCTCGTGTAATCGAAGAAAACTAAATAACAAAATACATACAAAATATAATGGCAATCGTTTTGGAAAATAAAATTTGCAAACAGATATGGTCGATAATTATCAAATTTTCAACCCTTCACGGTGTAATGTCTTTCATGTGATCAAAAATACTAATTAAGTAAATAATACATGAAATTAGCGACAATTCCAGCATAATACAACAAATAATTTGAAAACTAGATGAAAATCAATGTATCATAATTCGAGAAATTACCTGGTAAGGAAAAATTCTGAATTTTCCCTCGGCCGCGTGCCTATAACAGATCTTAGAGAAAACTCCTTATAGAATAATTACAGAGAAAACTCCTTCGAGAATAACTTTTCTCGGCCGCGTGCCTCTTGTTTTCTTCGTTTGCTGCCTGAACAAGATTCACTTTCGTTTAAGAATTTGAAAGGTTTCACAGAATTGGGGTTTTGTCCGATGAGTTTTGACGGTGGAAGTGGTTTTTTTATTTTTCTTTTACTTTTTTCTATAAGAATAATTAGGTTTATTATATTTTAGAGGCCCGCGAAACTAAAAGTAAAGTCGCGCTTAAAATTTATTTATCTTATAGCGTTTTATATTTATTGCTCTTATAATAGCGTTTTTTTACGGTGATGAATGAGATTTAAAATTAAAACAACTATATAATAGCATTCAGTCCTAAAACGCTATGGTAATATGCTATGGAAAAACAGTTTTCTTGTAGTGGTGGCATTTCTCGAAACAAACGTCTTTGCTTCTTTGACATATTAGAACTCGTATCCCATCGAGTCTTCGGGATACCCCACAAAATAGCACAAGTCGGATTTACTATCCAACTTATCTCCCACTAACCGCTTCACATAAGCGGGACAACCCCATATCCTAATATGTTTGTAATTGGGTTTCCGGGAATGCCAAAGTTCATAAGGTGTGGATTTAACTGCTTTGGTGTTAACTCTATTCAGCAAATACGCGGCAGTACGGAGTGCATGACCCTACAAGTATGCCGGTAAGTTTGTGAACCCCATCATTGATCGAACCATATCTAATAAAGTTCGATTCCGACGTTCGGACACTCCATTAAGTTGAGGAGTTCCCGGTGGAGTCCATTGGGATTGTATCCCATTCTCTTTTAGATAGTCAATGAACTCGATGCTCAAGTATTCTCCACCACGATCGGATCGTAGCTTCTTAATACTTCGTCCGAGTTGCTTTTCCACTTCGTGTCTAAAATCTTTGAACTTTTCAAATGTTTCAGACTTGTACTTCATCAAGTACACATACCCATACCTAGAATAATCGTCGGTAAAGGTAGCGAAGTAGTTATATCCACCCTTCGTACTAACACTTAGTGGACCACATACGTCTGTATGGATCAAATCCAAAAGACCCTCGGCTCGTTCCATTTTCCCTTTGTAAGGTGACTTGGTCATTTTCCCTTTAAGGCAGGATTCACAAGTTTGTAGTGATTTCACGTCCTCCAAAGAGAACAATCCTTCACTGACAAAATCGTTCATCCTTCTTAAAGAGACATGACCTAATCTAGCGTGCCAAAGTTGTGCGGGGTTTTGATCTATCTCCTTACGTTTTGCTGATATAACATTAATAGGTATTTCATTTGGATTTAGTTCATACAAGTTGTTTAATAGTCGTCCTTTGCAAATTAAATTCTCATTCTTTTGTATAATGCAAATCGAATTTCCAAAAACAAAAGTAAAACCTTCAATATCTAATACAGGAATAGAAATAAGGTTTCTAATGAGCGACGGAACAAATAAACAATCGTTCAAAACAATAGGAAAACTAGAATCCAAAACATTTAAGTAAATTGTGCCAATGGCTTCAGCAGCAACTCTTGCTCCATTTCCCATCCTTAGGTAGGTCTCACCCGCTCTAAGTCTTCGACTTCTTGTCATTAGCTGCAAATCATTGCACAAATGTGAGCCACAACCCGTATCCAATACCCAAGAAGAAGAGTTGACAGACAAATTTACGTCAATGAAATACGTACCCTTTTCAGAACCTTTCTGCTTTAGGTAAGCCTTGCAGTTGCGGCGCCAATGTCCTTTCTTTCCACAGTGATGGCAAGCATCATCAACTTGCTTACCAACCTTTGCTTTGGGGCCCCCACTACCTTCACCCACTTCGAACTTGCTGTTTTGGAAGGGAACTCTTTCCTTTCTCTTCTTTTGGAAAGAACTCTTCTTTCCAGAAGTAGCAGCAATGAGAACAGACTTCTCTTTCTTAATGGTGGACTCGAAGCTGACCAACATGTTCATTAACTCATCCAAGGGAGGATCTAGTTTGTTCATGTTGAAGTTCACTATGAACGATTCATAGGAACTAGGAAGAGACAACAGGATCAAATCCAACGAGAGCTCGGCCGGGAGGGTGACATCAAGATTCACTAGCTTTTCAAGGAGAGTGATCATTTTGAGACAGTGCTCGTGGACCGAAGTCCCTTCGCGCAGTCTCGCTGTGATCAACTCCTTTGTAGCAGCGTACCTCGATGCCCTAATATTCTCACTATACATGCTATCGAGATGAGCCTTTATATCGAAAGCATGCATGTGAGACTCATATTTCCTCGCAAGCGCGGGCTCCATGGCGGCTATCATATAGCACCTAGCATGAGTGTCATCTTTCTTCCAAACTTCATAAGTTTCCTTTTCAGCATCAGTCGCTGTGGCAGGTAAAGTGGCGGGAAGCCTCTCGTTCAAAACGTAGAGACGCCCCTCAACAGTTAGCACAAGCTTAAGACTACGCAACCAATCTAGGTAATTAGGGCCATTGAGTTTATTGTCGAGGATTGACATTATGGGATTCTTAGACATAATTATCTGAGATATATAGAGAAGAGGATTATTAGAGATTCGCGTTAAATGATTGTTACAATTAAATGTTTGGACTTATGTTATTTAATTGTTCTCCCACTAATTTTATCGAGTTCCACTTCCCTCTAGTAGACAAACGAGAAAACTGATTTTTCTTAATGGGCTTTAGGTCCAATAGACAAATATAACCCGTAGTTAATCTAGCCCGATTATATTTGCCCAAAGGTAGATCACAATCAATCATATCCACAATATGACCCTAAATTGATTTTCCTCACACTTGATAATGACCTAAGTTAATCTCGCGAATATCAAAATCGTCGTGTGTCAAGTCTAACCTACCAATCAAAGATGCTCATAGAACTTGATTATGTCAAACTAATGCAGTCCCTAGTTAATCTAGCCGACCACGTTAATCCAACATAACCCTTTTCTATGGCTACCTTCATCATTATGTCAATTGAATTACAGCTTACTCTACCATAGCACTCCCCCCTAACACGGCTTACTGCACTACAGTAAAGGGCTACACATAATCCAACCGTTGGCAGAAGGAATGAAATAACTCAACAGATTGGGTCATTCTTTATAGCTTGAAATGATTCTCAATTAAATTAAGAATGAGGGGTTTTATTAAAAAGTTTTATCTCATCAGAAGGTTCGGATTGGTCTATGTGATTCCTACATCTATGTTCTCTAAAGGTGTATGGAAACGCATATTGTCCTAAGAGGAACATACGACCTAACTATATAATTAATTACATTAATTAATTATCGGGTTTTTCAAAATAATTATAGAACCTCAACTAGCATAAATCATTCATATAATGTTGAGGTACTACTAATTAAGTTGAACTATAATCAATATTATATATGTGTTCCATTAATTGAAATCAATTTAACAATTTAAATTAATTAATTAATCTAACACCTATTTACTAAAATAGATGATTGTTGATCCAATTATCTAATTGGGATTATTTGAAAATAATTTTCCAAAAATTAAAATCAATTTGTTTTAAGTTTAATTTTAGAAATCTGAAATAAAATTTTTTTTTTTTTTTAATTTTCAGTGAACCGGTTCGGCCCAACCGGTCTGACCGGTTCGGACCGAAGCGGTCCGGTTCTGTCCGGTCCAGCTGACCCAAATCAGTGGGCCGGGTCAGTCGGACCGGGAACCGGTCTGACCGACCCGAATCCACATGGATTCGGTCAACTAAATCGCACACAACCATCGAACCGGCCGGTCCGACCGGTTCGATCCAAATAATTAAAAACCGATGTTTTAAAACAATTTCAGATCCGATTTTCCAATTTTAAACAATTTTAAAGCTGGGAAAATTCTAAACAATATTTCAAAAATATTTTAAACTTACGAAAACTCCCAATTACATAATACAACAATCACTACTTTAATAAATCGAACATGCATAAAATCATAGCATATTATACAACGCAATTAATTACGCAACGAGCTCTGATACCACTGTTGGGTTTCGGGCACGCGTACGCAGCGGAAAACAAAAATTTTATGCAAATTAAACGAGTTTAAAACACATAAGCACATGCCCGATAATATAAATCAATTAATTGCGTACCTTTGCGCTTCCAGCGAAATTAAAAACAACATACATGCTAAATAATTTAACCGAATTTAAATCAATTAACATGCTCGCGTTTAAACCAATTATCATGCTTGCAAAGATTAAAAACGATTACATATAATCACATAAAATCATACGATAGCAAACATGAATTCATTGTTTAAACCTAAACGAACCGTAACTAGGGTTTCGTGTATTTACCTCTTGAAGCGTGAGGTAGGAGCGTTTAGCAAGTCGAGATTGCTACGGCAACCAATCCGTACAATCGGGGCAGCAGCGGTGCAGGAGCAGCAGCGGCGAATCAGCCACGGCGGCGCGTGAGGTACACGCGCGGTCTTCCGGGGCGGCGCGTGGGGCAGCGTGCGGCTTCGGCTAGTGCGCTGCTCTTCGATTCCTCGATCTTCGGTCTTCCTCCTCTCGGATTTCACCTCGTATACTTCGATCTACTAAACACGTGGCACTAGACATGTAATAGTTAGAATTAACGGAAGAAAAAGAAAGAAGAAAAGAGTACCGAAAGGATCGGCCAATAGATGGCCGATTCCGGCGACGGAGGAGCGGCGACGGCGCGGTGGTGGCCGCGGGGAGAGTGGCCGAGAGAGAGAGGTGGACGGCCGCTAGGGTTAAGGTTTGTTGTGTGTTTGTGCAAGGCCTATAAATCATGTATTTATAGTCCCTTGCATAAAACCCTAACGGGCTTAAGTTGGACCGGGCCCAACAGCTTAAGCTCGTTAGTTCCTTTACTCGCTCGTCTCTCTCAATTCAATGATCGGAAAATTGCAACAATTACATTTTCGGAATCATTATAATATCCTCGTCATTACGAGTGCCATCTTTCATTTTCCAACTTTCCAAAAGTGGAAACCCTAGTTCAGTGCACTTTCTAAATTTGGAAACATCCCGATTTAGAAAGTTCACTAACACGTTCGCCTATTCTTTTCCTTTTCTTATTCTCATTCATAATTCCAAATTACGAATGTCGGATCCAATCATATTGACTTCCAATCATGCAAAGATAAACTATTTTACCTTTGACCGTTTATTCAAAGATCTCATGTGCACGAGCAGTGTGACCCTCGATGGTTCAGGTGTAAGCTAGCCGTGGGCCCACAACCCTTTGTGGTCAAAACTCGTCCCCTTCGAGTTACGATTAAGATGAAGCTCGTTTCACCTTAATCACCCAACGAATCAAGATTGGCGTCTAGCAACTACGCGTCATGATTCCCTAGATACAAATGAAGTGCCTGCAAGAACCTTCAGATATAGTCAACGTACAGTACGGTCCCTTCGATTCATATGTCCCGATCGAACTAGAGGCATTGGTTCATCGAGACCTCTTTATCTGTTCGATGACGGTGCGATCGTTCTAAGTGTTGTAATCCTCACGTGCATGACTTAGAGAATCGAATTCTCTAATCATCACTTAGTCAGCTCTGGCCAGAGACTTAGAATGATTACAAACTTTCAGAACACACAGGACATCCAAGACTATTCTAGCGATCAAATCCCCGACTACAATGCACAGACCTCCCACTAGATTTCGGACTGCACGAACACTGGCCCTTGGGATGGTCCTCGGTGGAACTCAGGGACAGGTCACGATACAGCTGGTCCTCTAGTGAAGTCACGGTGATGTCTAGGTCATAAGGACTAATGGTGTACAACTATACCATAGATATCTCTACTCGATTATTGGGAACCACTTAGAGATTTCTAGGGTGAGGGAGTTCAGTGAACTCGTCAACTTACGAGCACCCACTTATGCATGCCGATATCACAATACCGTTTACTGATGAGATGTAGTACACATACACTAAGTGCTAGTCTTAATGGGAAAGGCCGATATCCTCATTAGTGGCGTAACCCTTCGACTAGGAACACGTTTAACAGTTATAATACTTGAGTAAATATCTCACGATCCTAACGATCAATTACTAGTACTTGTAATAACTGTAAGGACTATATCTATGCTTGTGACAAAGGGACAAAGATATAGAATGCCAAGATGTTTTATCATTAATACGAATAAAGGTTTGTTTATTACAATAATAAGTACGAAAGAACACAGCCACAAGTTGGCTTGTTGGTCACCTACTCTAACACTGGGGACCGAAAATAATGGGCGGCACGTAAGATATTCTTTGCACCTCCTCGAGCTGAGCTTCCATCTCGCACAGGCGCCGGAGGTGCGCACGGCTTGCCCGATCTGCCTCCTCTATCTCTCCAAATAACTCCTCAGTCTCTCGCAACTGTCTCAGGTGCGCCCGCCGGGCCCTGTTGGAGTCTCCCCCTGAAGGTCCTCCCAAAATCATGCTGATAAAGTTGGTAGGCTCCACCTGGTCCTTCCTCTCATTCAGCTTTTCCCTTCCCGGCTCAGGTTTGCGGGGCTCGCTCGCACGCCGAGCTGGGAACTGCTGCGGGCGCTGATTTCCCTCTTTCACAAATTGTGGCAGATTCTTCGCGCGTATGAGCCTCTCGATTTCGTCACGAAGGTGTTGGCATTCGTTGGTGGTGTGGCCATAATCATTATGAAAACGGCAGAAACTCCCTAGCGTGGGGCTTCTCTTCGGGGCTTCTGCATACGTGCGAGGCCACTTTAACTTTGGGTTATTCTCTATGGCCAACAGTATCTCTCCCGGTTGTGCGACAAGCGGTGCATAGCTGTCAAAACGAGGTCCTATTTTTCTCTCGTTCTGCACCTCCCTTCTCGCCAGTTGAGTCGGCTTCTGTATTCTATCCTCTTTCTTTTCCCTTTTTGCCTCGTAACCGCCCTTGCTCTCGCCAAATTTATTATGCACTGCCTCCTCCGCGTTCATATATCGCTCGGCCTTTTTCAACAAAGCATTAAAAGATGCGGGAGGCTTTTTCGAGAGCGAAGTGAAGAAATCGCCAGCCCGCAGCCCTTGTGCGAGAGCGCTAATCAAAACTTCCTCTAAGGTAATTGGTACCTCTAAGGTCGCCGAAATGAAACGCTTGATAAAACTTCGCAAGTACTCTCCTTCCCTTTGTCTGACCGCGAACAGAGTCAAGGTGCTCCTCTTTTGCTTCTTTGAGCTCGCGAAGTGATCCATAAAACATGCGCTTAGCTGGTCGAAACCGCCAATTGTGCCCGCAGGCAGCTGGCTGAACCAAGCTTGCGCGGCTCCCGCTAACGTAGTCGCGAAAACCCGACACTTTATTCCCTCAGTAAATCGGTGCAAATCCGAAGTGTTGTTGAAGCGACAGAGATGCTCACAAGGGTCGGTGGTTCCCAAGTATTCGTAAGTGACAGGTCGAAATGAGTGAGGCAGATCGTCGTCCAGAATGTCGGCTGAGAAAGGGCTTAATGCACTGAGCGAGGAACTTGCGCGGACGGGCCCCTCGCTCCCTCGCCTCCCACTCTCCCCCATCTTTCTTTTGGGCGACGCAGCCTCGGGCTCCTTTACCGTGCGCACAGAGCCCTCTTGGACAGCGCTAGCCAAGAGTGCCTGCAGGTTTTCCATAGTCATGGCGACCATAGGGCTACCTCCCGTAATACCGCCTGCTTGCGGCGTCTCCTCTCTCGGGGTAGAGGCCTCTCCGACGGCTGGTTGGTGCTCCGGACTCCATCTGACTGGTAAGATCCCTTACTATGCTGGGAAATGAGGCCATTGGTAAACGTATATTGATTAACAGAAAACAGATAAGGTGATTTAAAGGAAAACGTTTGCCACAGTTTAGCTCAACGGTTTCCCACAGACGGCGCCATTTGATCCGACTGGATTCGTGGTGGGCTGGTTTAAAGAGTTGAGTAGGCCTGGATTTGGACCGGAGCCCACGATAAACCTACAAGAAAGAAAAGAACCGGACTTAGGCCGGAGTTAGCACTCCGACGGCCAAGTCAGTAACTTCCTGAAGAAGATATTATGCTTCTGTATGTAATTGATGTATATGATTTCGTGTCCGTTTTCCTGTATTTACTGCCCCTATTTATACTAGAAAAAAGGGACGGACGTCAAATACTCTTCAATTCAATTTACCTGTCCCATCGCGGTAATTAAGCATCCGGACCTCAAATTACCTTCAATGCGGTTTAATCTGTCATTTCATTGGCGGCTGCAGGGGCAAAAAGTAGGGGCCGAAGAGACATTCTTCTGCGCTTGTCAGTGGATTGGACGTGCATTAAATACCCCCATGTGCAGCAATGATCATCTCCGGTCGGAGGCGAGCAGCTTGGCGAGAGACGCAAAGCTGCTAGGCGAGAGTGTGAGGCAGCGAGGAGCCTCTCGCGCGTGGACCCTCTCGCTCAACCGGAGTCAGGACCCTCTCGCAATGAGGATCCTTTCGCCCAACCGGTGCCAGTTTGATGGGCCTTCTTCTATTAATGGGCTTGAACGGTGCCTTTTGATCTTGTTTGGGCCTTTGGTCTTTATTGGATCCATCAAGCAATTCCGGGCTGGATCAGATACCAAATCCACCAATAAAAACAGAAACATAAATTAACCCAAACAATAATCCACGTAAACGTAAACGTCGAGTATTATTGCTACACTCCCTTGTATCTTTTTTATCTACTGTTTTTGCTGTTGTCTGTTGATGCGTATTAAAGTCATAGTACTGTAGTTCGTGTTTTTAAGAACGTTGTTTCGGACGCACTTTTGCGCATGTTTTTTTACAAGTACGTTTTTGTGCATGTCCATTTGAGGGAGCGTGTATGTGCATGTTTGTTTATTTGTATTAATGTCCTAGGATTGTACTTTGTGTTTTCATTATCCTTTTTGGGAATGCACTTTTGCTTGAGTACTTTTGTGCATGCTTTTGAACTTTTACTCATGTGCGTATCTTTTCTAGCGAGTGTTTTTGTGCACGTTTCTTGATGCGCATTCTCGTCCTTGAATTGTAGTACGTATTTTCATGATCGCTTTTGTTATCCAATTTTGACCATGTTCGAGTCCGAATTTGGAATTTTGACGTTAGACGGGAATTGTAGCCCACTGAAATAGCTTTCTAATGCCACCGGAACCAGTCGATTTGGAACCCGGATGAGAGAGTTATGCTCGACTTCGTGGACACTAACAAAGATGTTGTGGGATTCTCTCTTCTAATTTGATTTTATTTTCTTAATTGCAACTCTTTTCTTACCCTTTGATCATTTTTGCTTCCTGGACACCTAATTTTCGATTTGTACCTAAAAGATACCAAATCCACCAATAAAAACAGAAACATAAATTAACCCAAACAATAATCCACGTAAACGTAAACGTCGAGTATTATTGCTACACTCCCTTGTATCTTTTTTATCTAGTGTTTTTGTTGTTGTCTGTTGATGCGTATTAAAGTCATAGTACCGTAGTTCGTGTTTTTAAGAACGTTGTTTCGGATGCACTTTTGCGCAAGTTTTTGTACATGTACGTTTTTGTGCAATTCCATTTGAGGGAGCGTGTATGTGCATGTTTGTTTATTTGTATTAATGTCCTAGGATTGTAGTTTGTGTTTTCATTATCCTTTTTGGGAATGCACTTTTGCTTGAGTACTTTTGTGCATGCTTTTGAACTTTTACTCATGTGCGTATCTTTTCTAGCGAGTGTTTTTGTGCACGTTTCTTGATGCGCATTCTTGTCCTTGAATTGTAGTACATATTTTCATGATCGCTTTTGTTATCCAATTTTAACCATGTTCGAGTCCGAATTTGGAATTTTGACGTTAAACGGGAATTGTAGCCCAGTGAAATAGCTTTCTAATGCCACCGGAACCAGTCGATTTGGAGCCCGGATGAGAGAGTTATGCTCGACTTCGTGGACACTACCAAAGATGTTGTGGGATTCTCTCTTCTAATTTGATTTTATTTTCTTAATTGCAACTCTTTTCTTACCCTTTGATCATTTTTGCTTCTTGGACACCTAATTTTCGATTTGTACCTAAAAGATACCAAATCCACCAATAAAAACAGAAATATAAATTACTACAAACAAAAATCCACGTAAACGTTAACGTCGAGAATTATTGCTACACTCCATTGTATCTTTTTTATCTAGTGTTTTTGCTGTTGTCTGTTGATGCGTATTAAAGTCATAGTACTGTAGTTCGTGTTTTTAAGAACGTTGTTTCGGATGCACTTTTGCGCATGTTTTTCTACATGTACGTTTTTGTGCATGTCCATTTGAGGGAGCGTGTTTGTGCATGTTTGTTGATTTGTATTAATGTCCTAGGATTGTAGTTTGTGTTTTCATTATCCTTTTTGGGAATGCCCTTTTGCTTGAGTACTTTTCTGCCTGCTTTTGAACTCTTACTCATGTGCGTATCTTTTCTAGCGAGTGTTTTTGTGCACGTTTCTTGATGCGCATTCACGTCCTTGAATTGTAGTACGTATTTTCATGATCGCTTTTGTTATCCAATTTTGACCATGTTCGAGTCAGAATTTGGAATTTTGACGTTAGACGGGAATTGTAGCCCACTGAAATAGCTTTCTAATGCCACCGGAACCAGTCGATTTGGAGCCCGGATGAGAGAGTTATGCTCGACTTCGTGGACACTAACAAAGATGTTGTGGGATTCTCTCTTCTAATTTGATTTTATTTTCTTAATTGCAACTCTTTTCTTACCCTTTGATCATTTTTGCTTCCTGGACACCTAATTTTCGATTTGTACCTAAAAGATACCAAATCCACCAATAAAAACAGAAACATAAATTAACCCAAACAATAATCCACGTAAACGTAAACGTCGAGTATTATTGCTACACTCCCTTGTATCTTTTTTATCTAGTGTTTTTGCTGTTGTCTGTTGATGCGTATTAAAGTCATAGTACTGTAGTTCGTGTTTTTAAGAACGTTGTTTCGGATGCACTTTTGCGCATGTTTTTCTACATGTACGTTTTTGTGCATGTCCATTTGAGGGACCGTGTTTGTGCATGTTTGTTGATTTGTATTAATGTCCTAGGATTGTAGTTTGTGTTTTCATTATCCTTTTTGGGAATGCACTTTTGCTTGAGTACTTTTCTGCCTGCTTTTGAACTCTTACTCATGTGCGTATCTTTTCTAGCGAGTGTTTTTGTGCACGTTTCTTGATGCGCATTCACGTCCTTGAATTGTAGTACGTATTTTCATGATCACTTTTGTTATCCAATTTTGACCATGTTCGAGTCCGAATTTGGAATTTTGACGTTAGACGGGAATTGTAGCCCACTGAAATAGCTTTCTAATGCCACCGGAACCAGTCGATTTGGAGCCCGGATGAGAGAGTTATGCTCGACTTCGTGGACACTAACAAAGATGTTGTGGGATTCTCTCTTCTAATTTGATTTTATTTTCTTAATTGCAACTCTTTTCTTACCCTTTGATCATTTTTTCTTCCTGGACACCTAATTTTCGATTTGTACCTAAAAGATACCAAATCCACCAATAAAAACAGAAACATAAATTAACCGAAACAATAATCCACGTAAACGTAAACATCGAGTATTATTGCTACACTCCATTGTATCTTTTTTATCTAGTGTTTTTGTTGTTGTCTGTTGATGCGTATTAAAGTCATAGTACTGTAGTTCGTGTTTTTAAGAACGTTGTATCGGATGCACTTTTGCGCATGTTTTTTTACATGTACGTTTTTGTGCATGTCCATTTGAGGGAAGCGTGTATGTGCATGTTTGTTTATTTGTATTAATGTCCTACGATTGTAGTTTGTGTTTTCATTATCCTTTTTGGGAATGCACTTTTGCTTGAGTACTTTTGTGCATGCTTTTGAACTTTTACTCATGTGCGTATCTTTTCTAGCGAGTGTTTTTGTGCACGTTTCTTTATGCGCATTCTTGTCCTTGAATTGTAGTACATATTTTCATGATCGCTTTTGTTATCCAATTTTGACCATGTTCGAGTCCGAATTTGGAATTTTGACGTTAGACGGGAATTGTAGCCCACTGAATTAGCTTTCTAATGCCATCGGAACCAGTCGATTTGGAGCCCGGATGTGAGAGTTATGCTCGACTTCGTGGACACTACCAAAGATGTTGTGGGATTCTCTCTTCTAATTTGATTTTATTTTCTTAATTGCAACTCTTTTCTTACCCTTTGATCATTTTTGCTTCTTGGACACCTAATTTTCGATTTGTACCTAAAAGATACCAAATCCACCAATAAAAACAGAAATATAAATTAATCCAAACAAAAATCCACGTAAACGTAAACGTCGAGTATTATTGCTACACTCCATTGTATCTTTTTTATCTAGTGTTTTTGCTGTTGTCTGTTGATGCGTATTAAAGTCATAGTACTGTAGTTCGTGTTTTTAAGAACGTTGTTTCGGATGCACCTTTGCGCATGTTTTTTTACAAGTACGTTTTTGTGCATGACCATTTGAGGGAGCCTGTATGTGCATGTTTGTTTATTTGTATTAATGTCCTAGGATTGTAGTTTGTGTTTTCATGATCCTTTTTGGGAATGCACTTTTGCTTGAGTACTTTTGTGCATGCTTTTGAACTTTTACTCATGTGCGTATCTTTTCTAGCGAGTGTTTTTGTGCACGTTTCTTGATGCGCATTCTC